GATGGAGCGTTGGGGATGCAAAGTCTCTGAAAGCTGGGCTTGCTTTTCCTTCTCTCCTTGTGAGCTTGAGAGGATGTCTGCTTCCCTTGAAGAGGGAATTCTTATACTGTTCCCAGACAGCAGTTACAGCTACCTTATACACTTGGAGCCCTCTTTCACTGGGGGCTGCGGCCCACACCAGCCTGGTGTTGCAGGTGGTAGGCAGTATAATTGTGGTGTTGCACCCAGCAGTCTGCTACCGCATGTTAGTATCTGCTTTGCTGGGGCCTTTAACTCATGTCAGCAGTCCTTTAGTTCAGGCTTGCTTAGGTATTAAAGATTTTGTTGAAATACACTGAAGCTTATTCACCGAATGTACTACAAATATTATAAAATTAAATGTAAATGCTTTTGAAACGCAAATACAGGCTTGGGCTTTTCACTGTTTTGCTTTCCTTAGGCACACAAGATAGGGGAGCTGACTCATGATGGGGTTCTCCAGAGTCTCCAAGCTTTTAGTGTTTTGGCATTTACTACTCATAAATATACTTCTCACATTCAGATGACAAATTGGCACTGCACCAAGGGAGCCCATGTTTATTCAAAATACCCCAGCCTTGCTCATGATTATGACAAATCCATACTCAAGGCTTGCTGCCAGCTTGAAAGTCTGGATCCTGATCAGCAAGCTTTGACGAGAATCAATTCAATATCACTTGCTATATTAGCAGTTGATGTGGGAATGAGCCCCAGGGAGATGAAAAGCCAGCATAGCTTCTGTTAACAGTTAGGCAAAACTTCTACTTTTATGCCTGCATTTGCATGAGCAACAACTTTTTGATGCAGTGGGTATTCACTTTCTGTCCTTCCTCTATAAAAAGATGCACGTGACCAATTCTGACCTTTCAGCTTTGACTATTACAAAGACATTTTACTACTCTACCTTAGGATATGCTCAAGAAGTCTGTATTTTTCCATGTAAAACATGAGTACTTCTGTGGGCTTTAAAAAATATGATTTGTTTAAGCGTTCTGACAGGGATATCCACAAAGACATCCGGGTCTAAGCCTCATACTATGTTAGAAAATGAAAGGGCGTCCAAGTGAATTATTTTCAGACATCCCATGTGTTTTGTACTTGTCCTCCATGCTGTACTTGCTTCTTCTCGTCCCTTGTCCCTGTTTGTTCACTGTTCTTCCTGCCCAGCTGGGAGCAGTTCCCCTGATGTCCTGTGACCATGGCCATGGTAAAGAAAGTTTATTGCCTTCTCCTTCCCTGCTGTGGCAGGCAGGAAGTTTGGTAGATGACATTTCCTGTCAGAAAGCTGTTGCAGGGCATAGGAATTTCTGCTGTCTCTTAAAAACTCAACAATCAATGCAATTTACCATGTAGCTACTTTGCTGTAGGTTGCTACAATTGTTATTCATAGTTTAGTCTCACATTTGCATTTTATCAAAGAACAAAATTGTCACATCTCTGTCCTGTGTAAAATCTGTGATTGCCTTGCAAGCTGGAAAGTCAATTTAAATTGAAGGCTCCAGTTAATAATGTACAAGATAATCAGTTTCACATGGTTGTTCTCAATGATATTAAGGAAAGTATCAAAGAAATACAAATACCATGTGACGTGATTATCCTCACACACAAGCACTTAGGACCAACATAGTGTCTTTGTTATCTACCTGGTAATTATTATTATGTTTCCCTGGTTTAATTATATTTATACCTGTAAGATTACAAGATAATTATGCTAGAATTTATTGCAGGAAACTAGAAATTGCATGGTTTGTTAACCACAGACAAGCACAGTAAAATTGGCAAACATGACATGGTTATTTGTGCAACATCTGAATGCATGTATTATTACTTCAAAGATCCAAAACTGTTGTGTGAGAGGCAAGCATGAAGCCTAGCCAGTTTAGCACCTGGTAACAGGGAAACAAAACACTGAGGAAAACACTGCATTGTAAAGCAGCCTGGCAGCTCTCCAGGGCAGGAAGCAAAAACTTAAAAATTAAGTTTTAGAAATGTAGCAAATTACTACACTTTACTTCTTCTATTTGTGATGTTTTGCCTTTTTCATGCTGGAATGCTGAGATGCATTTTTGCATATTGCATTTGTTGTACAACTGGCTTAACTAGAAAGTATATTCTGTGATTGTAGCAGGCTGGACTTCATGACCTTAGTAGTTACCACATTTAGCAGAGGGCGGAAAAGCCAGTCAGATTGTTTTTTTCATTTGCCTTAGGGGGAGAATAAAGACTTCTGATGGATACAGCAAAATGCCCTGTTCCTAGAGGTGTTGCCCTTTGACTCCTGGAGACAGATGGTGTCTCTTCTTTACTGAGAGTGTGCCTAGCAAATTGTTTCTTCAAACTCTTTTAAGCCTTCTGGACACTGGCAAAAACTGTAAAGGTTAATAATGATAAAGTGGAAATGGTTTCCATTCAGTGATGTGGATGATATTCTCAATTAATTGGCAGTAGAGGTGAACTGTATACTTCAGGTCTGCATCCTTCAGGTCTTGATAAAGCAAGTTTTGCTCAGGAGCCAAGGGGAACTTAGGAACTTAGCCTGAGTTTAGGATTTAAGAATTTAGTATTTGACTTTAAGACTCCTTAGCTCCTGTTCAGTCAACAGCACTAGTGTGGTAGAGAATGCTACCCATCCAAGACTGGCCATCAACTGATCGGGGCAGCAGCAGTCTTGGGTTGGAGTTGCCTTGTTGCTATTGTACGTTTCTAGGTAAACATAAAATTCTTTCAGCTTGGCTTTTTGTTTCTTCTGTACTTATTTAAAAAAAAAAAAAAAAAAAGAACAAAAGCTCATAAACTTCCTTGCCAGCAAACCATTAAGAGTTGCCTCCAGGTATCACTGCAATGCTGAATGTCCTGGGACTTTGAGAATGTTGAGCAGGGTGTTGAACTATCCAGAGTGTCAGCATAACCCCAGGCATTTCTACACATCTTCCACTCTCTGTAGACAGCAGAAGTGAATACATCCTGGTGTTTGTGTATAGTAACAGCAGTTTGACTGTGTGAGGGCACTGTGGCAAGTTTAAATAATTATTTTCAGAATGTCAATGCTAAATTTCATCTGAAAACCTTGAAAGAATATAAAATCTATTTAACATATGTGACAAGTCAACTAGTAGATCAGCAGTGTTACTTCTACCAAAAGACAGTGAGAACAAGGTACCAAGAAAATGAAAAAAAAAATAAAATAAATAGCTTGATAGAAATACAGTGTTGTGAATAACAGAAATCAAGAACTATGAATTCTTTGCTCTAATATCTGGAGATGACCATCCCTCTGCTAAGTATTACTCCTTAACATCGTCAGTGGAAAATCTCCTGCAGAACATCTTTGTCATAAAATAAACAAGCAATAGCATGAAAACTCCTTGTCCCAGAAGAGAGCAAGGCAGTAAGCTGAACAACATCAGGGAGCAACCCAGGAAGGGTTTGGCAGGGTCCCACAGACCCACAGGATTTGAGCTGGGTGAGCAGAGCAGGGGTAGTGGTAGCAACAGGTCCCATCCACAGTCCAGTGAACCTCAGAAAAAAGCAAAGTTAACAAGCCCTGTCCAAGGTCAATTCAAACACCAATTCAAGAACAAGGCTAGAAATAAGTTCTCTGATAACATAGCTCAGTGGAAAAATAATTATTATTACCAAGCAGAGATTTTTTTTCCAAACACATTTGAGGAAACCAGATACTTTCTGAGAAAAATATTTCCTTATTTGAAAACACTTATTTTCCTTCAAAAAGAAGCGTAGTAAGGATGTGAACAAGTTCTACCTAATGAACTTTAGTTGCCTCTGCGGTGCTTTGAGCATCTTAACTACTCCGTTGCTTAGGTATGATATATAGTAATGGGGCTACATTATATGACACAGTTGTCTTTTTGTAGTGTGTATTTAAACATGCCAGTGAAACTGGGAAAGATCTTGTGCCAAGTTCTGTGATCCCCAGGCTAATGTTTAACATAGCTTTTTTTTTTTTTTAATTTATTTTTTTAATGTTTCCACACATTAAAATTAAAAATAAACAAACAGCAGTTTTTAATCTTCTTCAGTGACGATGTATGACTTGTTTACCCTCTGACTGTCTCTATTCTACTCCCAGAAAGAAGATCTTGAACCTAGTAAGACTCTGTAAGCTCTTGCTGAATTAGTGTTGAGTGTAACTACATTTCTTATCTACATGAAGTTTACACTGGTATCTACCTGGGGCAGCTATCCTGCAGCAAGTCATTTCCTTGCCAAAAGCTGAGCCAGAAAATCAAAAGCCTGTTCTAGTCAGTAACTTTAGGAAAACTTGCCCCCAGCACAAGTATCAGAGAGGAAGAAAACAATGGCTCATGATCTATTCAGACAGAAGTGGTGACTAAGAGGGTCCAAACTTAAATAATTATTTTCCTCTTAGCCAAGTGAGCATTTCCAACAGACTTGTTACGAAACGAAGAAGGGAGGATCTAAGTAAGTCTCTGAGCACCTGCTTGTTTTTTCTTTGTCTCTTTGCATGGTCAAAAAGCTTCCAACAATACTAATGAAGTCACCACATTTTAAAAAGAACACCGAAAATTGCTTCTTTTTCTGTCACGTCTATAAATCATCAAAACCAACCTCCAGGCTAGCAGACTTTCACTACGTATGCTGACCCCCTAAAGGCTCAAAGAAACGTCTCCTGGAAGCCTTGCTGAGACAAGGCTCAGTGTCATATACTGTAAAAGGCACTAGGAGAGGCAGGGGTGCAGGAAGGTTTACCAGACAAAGTGTTTGCCCTGATGAGTCTGCCCCTTTGCCATGACTGGCTACTAATCAACACACCCAAACTGAGGTATCTGAAAGACCAAGCAACACTGGTCAGACAAAATTTCAATTCCTTCTCTATCCTCACCTCCCAATACTGGTGACTTGTGTTTCAAAACAGTACTAAAAGGGTTTGATTCATTGTAAAAACAAAATCAATCAAACAAAACAGTTTATTTTTCCTTATCCCCCAAAACATTAGGCACAAAAAAAAGAAGAGTCTTCCCTGCAGCTGAAATTACTGGACCAGGTACTGCAACTCCAACTCCAGCTGGAAGTTCAAAGACAAAATTGCTTACAGGTAAGAAAAATAACCTTGGTTTTGATACGACATGCATCTTCAGTGCTTCATAATTATGTTGTTATTCCAGCAGAGCTGCCTTTCCTTCAAAAGCAGATTAGCACAGACTGGCCTATATTGCAGCTGAACTGCAGCAGTGATGCTGGAGAGCTTTAAACAGCCCTGCTCTTTATTGTAATGCTGAAATCCAAAAACTTCACAAAAGGGCAGAATCTTTCTCAAGCTCTAAGCTTTTTTATAATTTTTTATCAGATGGATTACTAGAACTCTATAACCTACCTTTGGTGCTAATTGGCCCTACTTAAGCCCTTGTGCATCATTGCCTTATCAATCACAGCTCTTGATGCCTTTGGTAGGTATGTTTTCCCCTCCTCCATAGTTAGGAGGCATTGTCTATTTAGAAGGGCTAGAAAGCTGAGGTTCTGCATTTGGTCTTGTAGTCTGCTAGGAACCGCGAGTGCTGTGATACTAGTTTACCTCTTCTGAGGTCTTCTTGGTATTAAGTAAGTTATATGTTTTAAGTGACTCTTGTGGTATAAGGCCCAGGAAGATTTCTGTCTGACTGTGAAGTTGTTCTTACTTGGTACTTCATGTAGTCACCCGCAGAGGTGTGTCTGTCTGGTAAACAGATGCTGGGCATCGCCTAGCTGCACATTGCTGAGCATTGCGTAGTCATGTGCCAGCTCAACATCACTTCATTTCTTATTTTTGTTTGTGGGTTACCTGACATATGTTTTCTACAGGAGGAATAGTATCTCTTCTGAGTAGAGAGTGCTCAAGATTTCTTAGCATTGTATGTAGGATTCAAGTTCACTTGGGGTGCAGGTGCTCCTTTCACAGGAACACCTGCATCCCAAAACAAACAAACTTTGTTTGTTTTGTTTTTGTTTTTACTCTAAGAAGTACTATGTAAAAGGAATAAACTGAAACCTTCATTCCGGTGCTTTAGCTTTTCTGCTCTGCTAACATGCTAAGTTAAAGAGCATTACCACATCTCTGGAGCACATCCTTTGTGGCTAAGTCTGTATTAAAAAATAGTGTAGCTCCATAGGAACTGGCCTGTAGAAAGGAGTAACTATTGCTTAGCTCCTGCTATCTACAGCGTACATATATTTTGGGGTTACTCCTAACCTCATTCAGCAAGCTGAGTGTCCATTAGCAAATGGAGCTGATCACTCTGTTAAGCTTTATTTGAAAGAAGTCTGCTCTGTGGGCTATCAGCCTCTCTGTGTTATGAACCAAAGCACAGTGAGTGGGAGTAATGGAAAAGATGGTTTTTGGAGCATGGCTCCTGTTCTAATAACATCTGATATTGATCCCCCTTTATGGTCAGCATGAAGTGTTACTTCCCTGGAGCACAACTGCTGATGGTGAGGAAAATAATGCCAGACTCTGCAATGGCAGGGTGCTTAGAATGTGAAAAAAATCCCTTTTTAAAAACTCATTGATTTGAAATGTCTGCATGCCTCTGTGTCTACAGTGGGTTCAATGGGAGTGGTTGATAAGGGAGGAGGGGGGTATTGTATCTGGGAGGATGATGAGAAAGTGGATTGTTTGAGCAGCCTGAAAGGCAGGCAGGAAGATCCAGTACATTATCATGGTGATTTCTTTCATTTCATTTGAAATGTGATGTGATGCTTAATTCATTGTTTGCTAAGTGTTTTAAAACTGTGAAGAAGTTGAAGGATGTAGAGATTGCTAATGACCTTATGCTGTAAACTTTAGGACTAGATTATTATTTAACTTCAAACTACCCTGCTATAAACTGAGTACTAGAGCTGTTTCATTAAAGGATCTGTCAGCACTTAGATTATTAAAATCTGTTTTAAATCTTATTTCTTATTGAGCATCTTGGGAATATTTCCATCTGGAATGATGGCTTCCCACCCCACCAAGACTGAGGAGTGTTTAAGTTCTTGTTAGTTCTGGAGTTGCCTCTATCACTCATATAAACAAGCATATCTTTTTCCCTGCTGAGATGATGATTTTCGTTGTGGTTTGTTAATTTACTACAGCTAAAGTGAAAAAGCTGGTGGGGGACACACAATGGAAGAGGGTAGAAAAGAGTTGAGATCACTTAGGATTGTTTTTTGTTTTTAAAGAAAATATACCCAGAGAAGAAAACCTGAGGTCAAAAGGAAATGAAAAAGATCCCTGAATGTAAGTAACTCAAGCTGCAGATAGTGTGTTTAAAAAAATCTTTCTATAAATTAGATTAATTGTAATTGGTATTGTCACCTTCAGGATTTCAGGGTTTCTTCCTGAAACAAGGTTAATTTTCCTGTTTGACCTACATTTGTTTTCTGGTTAAACTATTAAAATAACAGTTTGACAATAGAAATTTTTCCTGTAAGTGAACTTTAAAAAGAACAAGCAAAGCATTAATTAGCATTTGTGTTGAAGAGGTACTTCGGAAAATGGAGTCAAAGTCACAAGACAAAGCTCTTTGTGTGGCTTTGTAGCTCTCTTAAAAACAGGGAGCTACAAAGTACTCTTTTCACACCTTTTTTTTTTTTTTTTTTTTTTTTGGAAAGGCAGCCCCACAAGTCTGCCAGGTATTAATGTGACTGTGTTAGGGTCTTCAGGGCACCTGTGGCCTTCATGGCCCTTGCTGGCCTCACCTGGACCCCGCATACTCACTCACTGTCTGTGGGGCCCCATCCATGGCAGCTCAGCCCTGGAGCTTCAGTCCTCGCTGAAGCTGTGGTGCCAGCACAACTGTGCCCAGCCCCATTCCAATATACTGACTGGGCTTACCCCCCCACCCCCCCCCCAAAAAAAAAACAAAAAAAACAAAAAAAAAACAGACCTACATGGTAGCCTTATTTCCAGTCTCACTTCTGACCCTGTTGGCCCGATAATCTTTGTACCTCCATTTTAAGTAGCCCCAGCTCCAGCCTGCTGTTCCTGACAAGACTCTCCTTGGACAGCCCCCACACCTGACTCATCAGCTCCCCTTGTTTGGGACCATTAGTGTCACTAAACTTGGGACTAGCCTACTATTGTCACCATTCTCCAGAGCACAGTCCTGCATTACGAGGCTCTTGTACAGCCTGTGCCAAAGTCACCCTCAGTCTCAGCCCACCTTCCCTGCATGGAGTAGCCTGTCAGGCTGCTCTGTGACATCAAGTTGAGACTAAAATACAGGAATTTGTATTCTGACCTGAACAAGATCATATTAAACATCCAGAGAGAAACACCTTTCCCCTTGGATTTACTCCCATGCTGCAGACAGCCCACCTGCCTGGCCACAGCTAGTCAGTGCTGTAGCAAGACTTGCTTTAGAGCAATTAAATGCTGCTTTTGAAGGCCTAAAGTCAGTAAACACTGCATGCAGAGAGGCAGAAAGTACACAGGCTTTGGAAGTTCAGACCAGCATTGCACCCACTGTCTGATATCACCACTTATGAATAAATGAACTGGACAACTTGAGAGACACAGGAAGCCTACTTGAAAGTACTTGGGACTAAGGAAACAGCAAGGTATAAGAATGGAAGCAAAAAGAGCTGATTTCTCAAAATATCATGAGTCAATTATTTATATGCGTTAATGGAGAGGGCAAACAGCAATATTTCCATTTCAGCATCAGCACACACTTGAGGTGCTGTGAAAAACCACCAGAGGTGTGAAACAGCTGTCAGACATGTTGTGAAAGACCAGGATTAAATACCCTTCTTCACCAACAGCCTTAGACCGAGCATAACAATCATCAATCAGTCATGCAAAACCCACAGACAGTTTATTCCAGGAAAGAGTCCTTAAAGATGCCAGGATTGCTTGGCAATGCATACAAACAAAATCACATGGATGATCTGCCCTCAAAGGAATATTAATGTTATAAATGAGGTCTCAACTCAATCTGAATTTTGTAATATTTATAAAAGAAATATTTCTAAAAGGTATAAAAGGCAAGTAAACAGCGCTGGGTGTGCGGGGAGTCTACGCTCCACCAACACGCACACACAAACATCAAACATTCTAAATATACAGAACATTGCTTGACATACTAAACCCGAGTATGCCTATACATATGTACAATCAGGAAAGGCAACAAACAATCCTTTAAGTTCCATGGCTTAACAGTCTCCATTTTTCATTCCTTTTCTTGATTACTAACAAGTCTCCATTTTCCATTCCTTTTGAACAATATGTCTCGCTTTAAGTTGTCACGCAACTTGGTCTTCAGGCCTTATGTATCCCGTTCTTCCCGGATCGAAGAAAAGCACATCCATCTCCTTTTCAAGGCCAATAGGCCTGAGTCAAAAGGCACGTTCAGGTCACCCGGGGGCAGAACAGCAAAAGCCTTCGATGGCTGTAGCAGCAGAGGGGCCCATGGCGTAGCAATCGGATCAGCAAAGGAGTCCGCAGCTCCCTCACTAACTGGCAAACCACACGTGTCTGACTGTGGCCCCACATGGCTCTTTAAGGCCTCAGAGACTGCTCGCCAGGTGCCTAGCAATCCCACTGCAACCTTGTCGTTTTTAGTTGCAGAGTCCCACACCTGGGGCCGGTCCTCTTCAACATCTTCATCAATGATCTGGATGAGGGCATTGAGTGCACCCTCAGTAAGTTTGCAGATGACACCAAGTTAGGTGCGTGTGTCGATCTGCTCGAGGGTAGGAAGGCTCTGCAGGAGGATCTGGATAGGCTGCACCGATGGGCTGAGGTCAACTGCATGAAGTTTAACAAGGCCAAGTGCCGGGTCCTGCACCTGGGGCGCAATAACCCCAAGCACAGCTACAGGCTGGGAGATGAGTGGTTGGAGAGCTGCCAGGCAGAGAAGGACCTGGGAGTGATGGTGGACAGTCGGCTGAATATGAGCCAGCAGTGTGCTCAGGTGGCCAAGAAGGCCAACGGCATCCTGGCTTGTATCAGAAACAGTGTGACCAGCAGGGCTAGGGAGGTGATCGTCCCCCTGTACTCGGCTCTGGTGAGGCCGCACCTCGAGTACTGTGTTCAGTTTTGGGCCCCTCGCTACAAGAAGGACATCGAGGTGCTTG